AGAAAGAAACCTTTAAAATGCATTTTGCCTGTACTTGCCAATTACGTTTTATCATGGAAACCACTTTTAAAATATCTTGAAAATGATAGGCTGTTTAATTTTAATTTTGCTTTATTCAGTATGCTTTTCTATGCCCTTCTTCATTTTGGGACTTGCTCTTCTCTCTGCAAATGGTCATAGGAGTGGGTATGTGGGTATGTGAGTGCACCATTCCTCTGGTCACACTAAACTTTCAGATATGAAGAGAAGGCCTCAGAAAGGCTAATTGGAGATTTTTTTCCCCAGGATTCTGTCGTTTTGATGACTCCTTGGATCTAGGTGAACCTCATCTAGACACATCTTAGACATCCCAGGTATGTGAGCTAAAATTTCTCTTTTGCCCAAACTAAATTAGGTTAAGGATTCACTTACTATTTGAAATAATTCAGATCTAACTCCAACTTTTAAGAGAAGAGTTTGGAAAAGGATGCTTCAGGGTGATAATTGATAGAAAAATAATACAAATTTAAAATTTATTAAACAGTAACCCCAGTTTTCTCTTAAAGGGAATATGGGTCTATTAGGGAAGCTCAAGATGGGATGAACACAATTAATATGAGAAATTTTACATGATTTCTTTCTGTTTTTTAAAAATATAATTAGAAATAAAAGAAAAGAGGAAAAGATTCAAATGGTCAAAAGTCTCAGAACAATAAACTTATTTGAATGCCCAACTCATTTACTTATTCATTTTAGAAATATTAATTAAAGGAAGTAAATAACATTAACATCCATTTATTGACAACAGTGTTGAAACTTAAAAAGTATTATTTAGTTTTCACAAGAAAGTCTGCAATATAGATAAAATTGTTTTCACTTTACAGACTAAAAAAACTCAGTTTTATAGACCTTAAAGAACTTGACCAATGTCTCAAGCTAGAATATGGTAAAATTCAGATTTCAAAGCACTTACAGATGTCATCCAATGAAGTTACTCCATTTAATTTTTGAAGATGAGATAATTTTCATAGAATGTCTATGTATTATCTTTCTTTTTCTACTGTATCAATTTACTTTAAATTTAGCAACTTCAAACCAAATGTATCACCTTATAGTTCTGACTTTAGATGTCTTTTGGGAGAGACTGGTTTCTCCATTTAGAGTCTGCCAAGGCCAATACCAAAGAGTCTGTAGCTTTGCATTCCTTTCTGAAAGCTCTAGTGAACAATTCATTTCTGGATTCATTCAGGTTGTTGTTGGAGTTCATTTGTATATGTTTGTAGGCCTGAGGCTTGTTATTGATGGATCTAGGTGAATCTCATCTAGACACATCTTAGATATCTTGCTTGTTATTGTCCCAGGCATTATTCTCAGTTTCTAGATGCATGGAGGAGTCTCCCATGTATCTTACTAAGTTAAAGAAACCAAACTGAAAAGGCTATTTATTGTGTAATTCCAACTATGTGGCATTTTGGAAAAGGCAAAACCACCGTAGTCAATAAAATAAATGGTTTCCAATTTTTTTCAGGAGTAAAGGATGAATAGACAGAGAACAAATGATTTTTAGGGCAGTGAAACTATCTTGTATAATACTATAATGGTGGAAACCAGGTATTACATTGTTTTCAAAATCCACAAAACATACAAAACTAAGAAGGAACACTTATGTAAACTATGGACTCTGGTGATAATGGTGTCTCAGTGTAGGTTATCAATTGTGACAAACCTATTACTGTGGTGGGACAGGTTGATAATGAGTGAATTGTAGGAGTGTGTAGATAGGAGGTACATGAGAACTCTGTACTTTTCACCCAATTTGATTTTGCACCTAAAGCTGTTCTATAAAAAGGTCTATCAAAAATGAAATTGCTCAGGAGGACTTCATTGAGGAATTTTCATGAGGGTCCCAGTATATACAGATCTGACATTAAATGTATAAAATGTAGGAATTATTTTACTTAGGATTATTGGTATTGGGTTGGTATTTTCTAAAAATCTGGATGTTATACTATTACAGATTAAATTGCATTTAAATTACACATAGTATTTTCTCCATTTGAACACAATATTGTAGATTTAATGGTATTCTTTGTTGTTTATGTTGGAATAAAATCTTCACTATGAATGGGAAACAAGCCAGAGAAAGATTCTCCATTTTTAAGAGCACATGGAATTAGGTTTAATCCTTCTTAACAACACAGGATCATTTCCTCCTCTCAAATTCTATCAACAAAATCACATGTACAGTTTCTTTTGTCATATAACATAACATATTCATAGGTTGAGGGGACAGGGAAAACCTACTTATTTTTATGAAGGACATTGTATATGTTTATGCCATTGAAATGAAGTACAACACTTAATTGAGAAAATTAAAGACAGATTCATGAGCAGAATAAATTTAAAAATTATACCCTTGATTTAAAATGGGAACAAACAAAATGAGAGCTTTTAAGTATTAAATGATAGACATTATTTATAGAATATTTTTAGGCTATTATTCAAGAAAATAAATATGACTAAAGTAATGCTCAATCTGGATATTCCATAGGAGTAGACAGGGGTGGAGGCTCGTTTTATTCAAAATATAAATGAGTAAGTAAATTCTGTTGTGGTAGGAAACAAAAATCTCAACTGCAATTTCCCTGTTGGTTGCTTAAATGCATTGCCTGAGTAATTTCTTATGGCTATCTGACTGGCAACATTTTGGTGCATTTTGAAGGAGGCATGAGAATGGTATGAGAAATTGGGGATGGCTTTCATGCTATTTTTAAAAAATCAACTCTAATTTAAAGCAATTGCATGGGAAAAACTTAAAAATATTTGATGAGTGCCTTTTAAATGTCTTTCAATAATATCTTAGTTTTGAAAATCATTTTAAAAAAAGAGGGAAATCCAGTTTTGAAAGACAGTCTTGGTCTCTATTACATTCTTTCTGCTTGTCTGCTGCCAATTAAGATGTAAAATAATAAATTTTGGCCTAATTAATACAATGCAAAAACTATAAATAAATCCTCTGAACTTTAAAAACATGACCTTGTCTGATTACTCGTTGGCCTGTATTTTTTCAGTTTATTCCCTCCAGCTTGACCAAACAATAAAAAATCATAGTAATAACAAAAAAATGTCAATTGTTGAGAGAGTGTTCTACCTCATTTAACTACTTTGCCCGTTCCATATTCTCAGAACATTTAAAATTAGGGTTTCTCTTGCCCCCAGGAAGATGCCGTGTGTGCTGTAGGATGGTGCATTTATTCGAAGGCCTATTTACTTCCTGTCAACTCCACGGTGTCTCCTTTCCTTTTTCAATCTGTTCATATATTTGGGCGCCGATCTTTTGGCGCTTAGCATATATTTCTCGAAATGCACAGCCTCTACCTTCTTTTTCATGTTTCTATAGGCTGAGCCTAAGGAAAATTGGGTGGGAGAAGCACGCGGTGTCACTGTCCGTGGTACTGAAACATCATTGCTAAGGACATTTTTCTAATGCTTACATATGGTGATTCCTGTTCACTGTTCCCAAGAAAATTCAAAACTGATAGAGTGGTGGTGACAAAGGAAAAGAGAGCCAAGAAAATATTGGGTGAGAGAGATAGAGGGATGGACAGAGGGAGAGACCTCAAGTCATAGCTCAGAAAGAATAAAAGACACTGAGGTGTGACATAATTTTTCTACATTTGCAGAAGTCAACAAGGGAACAACAGGGAAGGGAAAAAATAGCTGACATGAACTACTATGAAGGAGCATTTAAAAAACGCATGCACCAAGTGATATAAAGCCGTCTAAGTCTCGGCATGAACAAAAGCATCGATGCTAGTGGGTGAGAACACCAGACAGGTGGCATGTTGGGAATGCAGCATCAGTTGTTATACCAAACTGCCATAGGTTTTCTTTGTCTTTATTTTTCTCTTGTGATTTAAAACAAAACAAAAATTGTCATTTGGCACCATGACAGAACAAAGATAACTGTAACTTATGTTTCACATTTGATGTAGCTGTGTACCATTTTGCTTCTAAGGACCTTTGTAACAGTTACATCCCGCCACCATCAACCCCCAGCAGCTGGTGGCTGGCAAGGGGATAGACTTCCTGTCCTCGCTATTTAAGTTCCTCAAGTAGAGTGTAACCTACGCGAGGACAAATGCTGGATCTTAAACATTCTGGATATCTCAAATAGCTTAAGTAGAATATCTAGTACAAACAAATGAATCACAATGCCTTCCACAAAGACAGCATTCAACAAAGGCTTCTTAAATCGGCAAATATTCCATTTGTTTTAACACTTTCATCCTCTTCTAGGTTCTTTTAAAGTCCTATCCCTCTCCCTTCGGGGGCTCCAAGTCCCAATAAACCTCCCTCCCTCCTTCAGTCACTACCTTTGCAGCGCTCAGGCCCTGCCCTCCTCCTGCCCTGTGTCAGCACCCTGTGGAGCTGTCCCTTCTTTCTACTCTGCGATTCCACCCACCCCCCTGCCACTAATCCTGAAAGCTCGCGAACCTAGTCCCTTGGGGTGGGCCTGGCAGCTCGGAGAGATTCAGCTCCTGGTCCCCGCCCTAAGGGTAACGCGGTTGTCATGGACACGGCACCTGCGCCCTTCGGCGTTGCCCCTTCACCGCCATCCCCTCCCCCCACCTGCGGCGCGGAGCCG